CTTGATGGGACTTAATCGGAAAGAGGGTGACACCTTATGCCTCAGATGCCCAACTACTACCCTACTAGCCACATAGAACCCCCTCTGTCTGTGTCTATGCAGGTCAGACCTAGCTCCAGCCCCTTTTTCCACCAATCCTCGAGGCTGAGCAACCATACGTTCCCCTCATATCCCAAGTTGCAAATTATATTGTCTTTTGTTTAGTTATCCTGCCTTCACATGATGAGCTTCTGTTTTGCTGTCTACTTTAGAACACTTAATAATTGAGTTCTTGGATCCTCCCTACAGTGAAGTTTTTGCTATGTTATTGTATACGTTTGTCCGGGGGAGTTTGTCAATGCCCTCCCCCTGCCTTGGGTAGAGAGTGATCCTATGGATCCCCCTGCCCAACGTATCGAACTTGTTGCGGATATTCTCCGCCTGCAGCACTTGCTACAAATTGTGTTTTTTTTTTGTTCTATTGTTATCACATGTTTTAACAAGCAATATTTACTGCATCCCTGCTCCTCTCTTCCTCTTTTCCTTCTTCTCCCACTTTCCTCCTGCCCTCTTTACCTACCGCCCTCAGTCAGACTACGTGGTGCGATCTGGTCGCGACTCCTACAATGACCCCACCATGACTTATAATTCCTCCACTAGGCCCCTTCTCCCAACACCCGTATCATGACCCTTAAAATTGTAAGCCTTAATGTACAGGGCCTCAACTCTCCAAATAAGAGAACAAGGGCATTCCGCTTTTTCCGCTCTTCTCATGCAGACATAGTCTTCCTACAAGAGACCCACTTCTCTAGAACGTCATGTCCCAAATATTTACATGCCCAATACCCTATGATATACATGGCCAATGACAACTGAAAAAAGGAAAGGCGTTTTAATTGGCTTCCGCCGCTCCGCTAATTTTATATGCCACTCCACGACCAGAGACCCGCTAGGCAGATATCTAATTCTCACAGGGCTTTTACACGACTCCGAAGTCACCCTGGTCTCTTACTACGCCCCCAATACGGACCAACTTTCCTTTTTTATGACTTATTGAATAAAATACAAGCAAACAGCATGGGCACTGTCATCATGTGTGGTGACTCAAACCTGGTTCTCCTTCCTCACAAAGATAAATCTAATGATACTCCAGCATACTTGGCCTCCGCTAAAGCATTTCGCGCCTTATCTCTCACCAAGCACTCATTGACTGCTGGAGAGAAGTGAACCCTCATAAAATAGATTTCACATATTATTCCCACCCACACAATATCTTCTCCCTAATAGACCATATTTTTGTTTCCACCTCTCTAATCCCCTCAATCATGCATTCAAAACTCCTTCCAGTCCCGTGGTCCGACCACTCTGCGGTCACATTGATCCTCTCGGGCATCTCCCCTCCAACTAAATCCTTCTGTTGGACCTTAAATGATTCCCTCTTATCTGACACGGTAACTAAGAGCACCATAGAATCCTGCATATCCGACTATGTGGCGCAAAATCAATCCCCGGATATTTCCCCTACCCTATTATGGGAGGCTCACAAACCAGTAATCAGGGGGAAAATCATCCAGCTGGCATCCCAAATTAAAAAAGAGAGACTTAGGCACCTAGATACCCTGGAACAGGAATACTATTCCTGTGTCCAGGCCTTCACCACCGACCCCACGCAGTCCAACAAGACCAAACTTGACACAGCTCGCCAAGCACTTAATCTACTGTTAACAGGACACGCAGCCAAACAACTGCACCGCACGGCCCATAAGCTCTATCTCAAAGGAAACAAAGCAGACACCTTGCTGGCAAACCGGTTGCGGTCTCTAGACCCATCCTTCAAGCCTTACAGGTTACGCACTGCCACAGGAACCCATACTAGCAACCCAATTACCATTCTTGACCTCTTCCACAAACATCTTTCATCCCTATACTTGACACCCGAGCCAAAGCCGATAGAGAATATACACGGATTCTTATCTGAACTTAATCTACCATCCCTCCTCCCAGCGCAGATTCAGGCTCTAGAAGACATGATCACGGAACGGGAAGTTCTTCTTGCCATTGGCACACTAGCCAAAGGGAAGAGACCGGGCCCTGATGGCCTCACAGTGGCCTACTATAACACCTTTAAGGAAACCCTAGCGCCCCTTATAACTGCCTCCTTTAATTCCATCAGATCCGGGAATACCCTAAACCGTGACTCTCTCTCTGCATACATATGTATGATACCCAAGCCGAACACTGATCAGACCGACTGCTCCAATTTCAGGCCTATCTCGCTACTGAACGTAGACGTAAAATTACTTGCTAAGATCCTAGCTAACAGACTCCATCAAGTGATAGGGCAGCTAGTTACGCAGGACCAAGTTGGTTTTATACCCAGTAGGCAAGCGGGAGACAACGTTCGCCGCATTACCCTACTTACTCATATAGCTCAAACACAGCGTATCCCTGCTATGCTTTTATCCTTGGACATTAAGAAGGCCTTTGATACGGTGTCTTGGCCTTACCTTTTTGCCACCCTCCGACGCTGGGGATTTGGTCACTACTTCCTCACATGGATAACTTCGCTCTACAACAGGCCCACATCACATGGGAAATACAATGGTTACCATTCACCGTCCTTCGATATACTCAAGGGCACCAGGCAAGGGTGTCCCTTATCACCACTACTTTATGCCTTAATCTTAGAGCCCTTGGCATGTGTAATACGCTCTTCACCGGATATTTGCGGCATAACCTATGCTGGTACCTCCCACAAAATTTGTTTATTCGCAGATGATGCCCTCCTTACTCTTACCAACCCCATCATCTCCCTCCCAAACCTTAAGCTGGTCCTCAACCGATTTGCCTCCATATTGTGTCAACGATTCAAAGTCAATTGCCCTTAACATCTCCCTACCAACCCCGCTGGTAACATCCCTGCAAGAGAACTTTCCCTACCGTTGGTCTTCCTCTAAACTGTCCTACCTGGGGATTAATTTGACCCCATCATACGCCACGCTTTGTAGAGCCTACTACCCAGATATGATAAAGAAATTGGTACATCTACTCGGAACATGGTCTCGATATAAATTATCA